CCATTCCATAGCAAAACGATATAGTGGTTCTCAGAATTTCGTAAAAATTCGTAGTTTTGTTTCTTTTTGTAAAATACCATTTACACGTTAGGGTGGTCCAAAATATAGATTTTTTCCAAAAATGATTTTTTTTTTAAATCTCTACTTTTGAATTACTGGACCGATTTCAAAGATGAAAGTATTGAAAGATAATTAAAAATAATTTTGAGGAAAAATATAATAATATTAAAAAATTGATTTTGATTAAAAAAACATTGATTGTATTTGTTTTTTATGGGTTTCTTGGTTTGTAGATAGAGGCCGCAATAGGTTTTTATATTTTTCCTTGAAAATAGAGGGTTTTTTTTACACATTATATCAGAAATATATGTGTTTTTTTTTGTCGTTTTTTAGATATATTTTTTTGAAGTTATCAAGTTTTGGGATTTCGCTCAATACTCCTATGCGTCTAGACTACCATGCGTCGTGACCATGTTACAGTCGCTCTAAATCGATGGAGACGCAGACTTTATTTTTGCTCTACAACTTCGTCTCAGACGTCGCTTCGATCAGAAGTGACATTTTTGTGCTACAGGTTATTGAAAAATGTCAAAGACGGCCATATTGAAAGAAAAAAAAAACCTGATCATAAATGGCCGAATTTTGCAAAAATGTGAACGATTGCACCTAATTATGCAAATCGAAAAGACCGAGTCAATTTTTTGCTTTTTGTCCTGAAACTGTTCACATGCTGTATGATGAACGCTTAACAACTTTAACTAATCATGATTTTATTTCTTTATGCGTAAAGTTAACCATTTAGTTAGAGATACATAACGTCAATTATCAGTATTAAAGTGGACTAATTTAACCGATGAATGAGAGAATGAAAGTATAGAGTTGATAGTTCCGTTAGAGTACGGCAGTGTGAAAATTGTATAGTAGAAAGCGAGCAATGGATAATTTTGACGAAGTTAGCGATGAAGACTACACATTGTAGTCAAAACACGTATCTGTCATGTATGCCAAAAATTGGGTGGAATTTAATAGAAGATACACTTTCTGGCTGTTTTATTTAAGCATTCCGCTAGCAGTCCAATTTTATTATTTCATTATGATGACTACCAAGCCTTTGCGGATTTTCTTTTTTAAAGAGTTTTATAGATTTTTCTCCTTTAGGCACTGATGAAGTCTGCATGTAGTAGACGAAATACGCGTATTTGTCAAAAGATAAGCAATTATAACGGAATTAAAAGGAAATAAATCAACGCACTCAAAAAGCTCTTCTAGAATCTTTGGTTATTAGTTAGGTAGGTTCCGATTCTTCACTACAATCGTTTTTATACCTGTGATCTTGACATTTTTCCCTATGGGATAAGTCCTTAAAATATCAACTTTTAGAAGATATTACTCCACAACCAAATAAGCTATTCGTGATCTTAGATCGTCAATTTGAAGGTTTTTTAATTTAAATTCTCATAGGTGCACCCACATTTTGTTTTTATTATAGTAACTACAGTAAACAGGCTGACTACCGGCAGGCATCCAAATTGTCAAAAAAAAAAAATATTTCCTTATATTATAGGCTCATATTTTCACCACACTTTGGAAAACTCTTCTACTTTATGTATTTTCAAGGGCAAATGATTTGGACAAATAGTTTTTGACATATAACCAGACGAGTGAGTTGGAGTTTCAAACTTTTCTGGTGGAAAATCAATGGTATTTTTTTTTCTTGAATTCCTTCACGCCGATGGCACAATCATATTTTTATGTTATTTTCACATGTTCTGGGCAGGATTCTCATTATATAAAATCATAACTAGCTCATTTATTCTGTTCATAATTTAATTGCGGTCCTACAAGTGAAAATTACGTTCCTATGGATACACCCAAAACGTTGTGATGAAATCAGATAGATTAGCAGGTATATAAAATTTCAATTGTGGATGAAAGCTGCTACATGAATTATACCTTTATTTGAGTAATTAATTAATTTTTTTGCATCCAATCTCACGAGCAAGAATATTTTTTTTTATTATAGTTATAAAGAAAAATAAACGTTGAACCCTTATTTTTCATTTTTGAAAACACATTCCCCTTTAATTAACTTAACTGTCATGTTCTTCTTCATGTAAAAAATAACATAAAAATATGATTGTGCCATCGGTGTAAAGGAAATAAAAAAATAAAAAAAATAGCATTGATTTTCCACCAGAAAAACTTAAAACTCACACTCATTCATCTGGTCTTATCTCAAAAACTATTTGTCCAAATCATTTGCCCTTGAAACTACATCAAGAAGAAGAGTTTTCCAAAGTGTGGTGAAAATTTGAGCCCAAAATATTAAGAAATAAAAAATCCCATCCATGGTGAAAATAGGCCTTTTTTTGACAAATTGGATACTTGCCGGTAATCAGCTTGTTTACTGTAGTTACTATAATAAAAAACAAAATGTGGGTACACCTATAAGAATCTACATTAAAAAAACAAGTTCATCTCGGGGATTCAATAAAGAAAGGTCCACAATCTCTAGAATACATTCCAGAGTATTAAAATTATTTTTTTCAAGATCTACATTTTAAGGCCTAGATGCATGCCAAATTGTCTATGTCCTTGATCTTACCATCTCGAAAAATATTCCGCGTTAGAGAATAATGAGATTTTTTTCTATTATTGCGATCTAGAAAAGTTGCCTAGGTCCCAGAGTTATGAAAATTGGTTAATATTTGAGGTTTTACAGAAGTTTGTGCATCCGAAATCTTTAAAATTGTTTATCCTTAAACTGTCAAAATTTGTCTTATTCCGAGATTCTTACGTTTCACTAGTTGACGATTTAAATCTAAAAACAACTTAATGAATTGTTCGTTTTCAAAAACTCGAGATAGAGAAATGAGTGAAGAGCAAAGAAATGGAGGTTAGAATTGGATTATGCTCTTTCTTATTTGATAGAAAATTCATGTGACCGTAAAACTGTATTATTTTAAAGAAGCATGATCAATGCTTTAACAAGATTGACGGAAAACATATCAAGGAAAAAAAAAAGATCAATGCTCATGGGTTGTGAGTAGTGATACACCGAATAAAGGGTGTATTCGATAAAAATGGCACACCGAAAATCTTCTGTAACTTTTAACATACGGTTATGAGTAAAAATCCTGAAAATTTGAGTAAATCTTATTCAAAGTGTATTGTTTACATCTGTCAAGTTTCATAGAAAGGGAGTGGGAAGGGAGTGGTCGTAAAAGTGGTCAAATGGCCAGATATTTGGTGCAACAGTTCAAGAACATGTCAATTAGAGATATCCCTGAAAAGTCCTAGGTGTCGGTTTTGTGCAGAAAACCATGAAGCGTGCTGGTTTTTTTTAATACTTTATTATATAAATGTTTAGTGAAGTGTGCTGGGTTACATGTTTACAAGGTGTAAAAAGCCCCAAACCGGAATGAAAAGCAAAACATCACTGCGAAAACCCGCGCCTGAAAACTTTACACGAAGTTGCTCACCAAATCGTGTTGCATCGTGATGGATGACGAAACTTACGTCAAGGCTGACTTCCGTTAACTTCCTGGGCAAGAATATTTCGTTACCAATCGTTCCAGATCTGGCTGGTGATTTTCGGATGTGGAGAAATAAGCGGTCCTTTCATCACTTCCGAAACAATCAACGGTGCGATTTACACGGAAGAGTGTCTTAAGAAGCGTCTCTTGCCATTCATAAGGAAGTACAGAGGATCAACTCTGTTTTGGCCTGATCAGCATCCTGTCACTACGCTCGAAACGTGTTGGAGTGGTAGGTACGGATCCAACGGAGTAAATTGAATAAAACAAATTTTGTAAGTCATAACTCATTAGGGATTGTTCATTAACTACGTAGACGGTTTTTTTTAAGGATTATTGACCCCCCCCCCCCTTTCGTAGACAGTTGTTCATACAAATTTCTTAAAATTTGTACGGGCCGTGGATAATTGTCAACCCCCCCCCTCTAAGCTGTCTACGTAGTTTATGAACAGCCCCTTAGATGTTTTTATTTCCCTGAAAATTTCAAGCAAATCCGATAATCGGTTTAATTTTTGTGAGCAAATATGTGTGGGCCATTTTTATCTAATACATCCTGTAGTGCTATTCAGCCAGGCAATTGACGTTTATACCGAAATGCTATCCGATATTTTGCCATTCTTCCATTCTTTTGATACTGCAAAGCTTGATATAGAGCTTGATATTCGACCTAAGTATTCTGCCGAATATTCGGTGCATCACTAGTTATGAGTTTATAAAATTTCTCGAAGGGGGTCGCAGTCAACGAAAGATTGGAATCATATCTTTTTGATCAATAAATGTCACTATTGGTCACTTTTTAATTGTTTAAAGTTACTATTTGGTCGCTATTTATGTTTTAAATTCACTATTTAGTCACTATTTTGATTATTTTAGTCACTAAAGTCACTACTATTGTATCACATACGTACTACTAGCCCTGCGCTGATAATGATGACTCAGGTTGCTGCTGTTTTTTGGTCGTTTTAACGGTTAAAATATAAAAACTGAGAACTAAAAAATCTTCCTGTGACATCATATTCAATTTGATGTTCTGCTAACGCAATGAAACAAAACGTCAAACAACATATTTTTGAAAAGCAATTGTACAGCCAAATGAAAACAAAATTTGATGTCAAATTTGTCAATCGCGTGAACTGAAATCAAATTATGATTTCAGTTTGATGTTTATATCAAAATTTGATTTCTGTTGCTGTCATTTTTATGCTGGACCATGCTCGGGAACATACGCTTTCGCTTTCATCGGTAACTATCTCCGTATCGAAGGCAGTAAATCCAAATATGAATAAGTATAAGAAAACTAAGTAACTAACCAAATATGAACCTCAGAATTATCTCCTATAGCGGTGGTATTTGTATTGCCCTCCTATACTGTGCGATCGATTCACAGTATCAGCACTGTGTTGTGCATTTTCTCGATCGCCGTCGCCGCCGGTGCGAGCTCTCTGGGTAAATAGAATTCCAGCCTTCGTCGTACACACCGGGCCCGCTCGTTGCCGCTTTGCTACGCGGAGCTTACAATTCAAATTGATCGCTGAGGTGAGACGCGTTGGTGCACCTTTGTGTTGGTAGCGTATATAAAATCTACAAGACGCTATTGGATCGGATTAGTCAAGGTTCTGATTTCGGACGGTACGAAACGGTGTGATTTCCGATTCTAGTGACAGTAATTTTTTCAAGATGACAAAGTTGATGTTTACGATTCTGGCTGTATGCCTTGTTCAGGTAAATCAAATTGCTTCCGAACGTGACTTCAGGGATAATTGATATCCATTATTAATTTGTTGGCGTCCGTTGGACAGGTTTCACTGGCACGTGTTGTTCGAGATGCTCCAGAACCACTGGCAGAGAATTCGTTCTTGAAAACGCTTACCGCAGTTCAGGAGAAAGCCCATGAAGCATTGACTGGGCTTAATCAAAGTGTGTTGAAATCACTGGGATTTCAATCGAACGATGAAGTAGTGGAAACAATCCAGAAGAACACCAACAAGTATGTCGAACAGCTGAAGACCGTTCAAACGAACATCCAAGAGGAACTGAAGAAGCACCCGAACCCTCTCGATCCTGTCATTACGTCGTTGACCGAAAAGATTGCCGAAACTAGAAAGTCGCTCAGCGAGCAAAACCCGGAACTGGTGCAAAAGGCCCAGGAATATCAGGAATCCGTGCAGACCCGTATCCAATCGCTGTTGACCGAAGCTCAAAAAACCGGCGAACAACTGAAGGAAACTAGCCGAGGTGCCACGGAACAGCTGCAATCCGCTCTGAAGCAGTTGTACGATGTTACTTTCGACACATTGAAGAAAACCGCTACGGAGTTGGAGCCAAACAAGACAGCCCAATCGTAAAAATGGTGAATTTTTAGCGTGCTAGTGTTCTTTATTTTTAATAGAAAAATGTGAGTATCATAACTGACAATAAATGACTCGATTCGTGTACCAGTAGTTTTGAGTTTGGCTTGCTTCATTTTCCTCCCTTATCATTAGCATCGTCGATGCTATCGTGCAAGTGGCAAAGGGTTAGTAAATTGGATATGATGCGTACAAATGAATGACTTAGCTAATGGGTGGTATTGATGGACGTTTCGTGCTTAGACTGTTCACATCACGTAAGATGGTATTGTTACTTGCAATTGAAAGATCGACTCGTTTTTAACCAATTACACAAATTAGCTTAACGATGCTAGATGACTCAACGTTGGAAGGTTTCCGATTTGTAGAAAAGTTATTGAGAATGCTGATAATATTTGTTTGCGAAAGTTTTTGGTTCAATTTACGCCGATGAAATAGTTACTGAATTAGAAACCTTAAACATTATGATAATGATGTGATGTTTAATGCACGATGATGAATTTTTTGTTATTATCTTAGAACATTTTCTCTCTTTTTACTGGATTATTTTCTACTAGAACTAAAATCTGAGTTTGCGATGTGCAGAAATAGTTTTTCAAAAGTTTTGCAAGTTTGTTTGTTGATTTTTAAATTATATATTATTATTATATTATATATATTTTAAAGATCACAGTGATGTAACATAGCTAGGTTTAGTCTGGGGAATTTGTGCTCGAAATATTCAAATAATCTGTTCGAGATTTTAGAATGCAAGCATAAGCCCACCATTTTCAAAAACAGCAAGTACAATTTTCAATTATTACGATTAGCATAAGACCTGAAGAAGCGTATACACGCACCAACAATCTAGACCGACCCTGGAAATATCTTTTTCTACAGTGAGAATAGGAACAACTCTAAGTTTGGCTAATACTTTTTTTTTTGTTATTTGTATTTTGAGCTCAATATTTTTCATCTTTAATGATTTAAAAATCTGACCTGAATAAATCTTTAGAATGTTTCAAGATCCGTTTAAATCTATTGAGATTTCTGAATCGAAAATTATGTTATAAGAAATCTGATCCTTTCCAGATAAATCTGTGTGTGGGGAATAACTGTTTATGAAAATGCAGTTATCTGCTTTGCTTGTTATTGACTGTTACGTCCTACTAATATTTCAAGCCTACACAGCAAAAAAATAATTTTGATATCACATCAAAGTGGATGCACTACAATCATGTCGAAAATTTCATGTAATTTTTATGACCACATAAATAAACAAATGCAGTAAAAGCAGCGTAATGTCAGTTCATGCATTGTATTAATGATAATTTTGTCCTTTTTAGCAAGTAATATTACACCATATTTTCGACATGATTGTAGTGCATCCACTTTGACGTGATATCAAAATTATTTTTTTGCTGTGTATAGTTGACTTACCTGTTAGCAAACATGGCGGTGGATAATGATTTTATACGTTATCTTATAAATTTGTAATATGTTGGTTTACGGAAAAGACAAGAAGGTTTTTTTACGCTTTTTGAGACAGATTTGTAAAAAAAAGAAAAATAAACAAATAAAAGCATTTGTTTATATTCACCCAATCTTTATTTCACAAGCAGTCTTCATTAGACAGATGAATCCAAAGAGCATATTTTACAGTTGAATTTTTGGAAAAAGAGACAAAATGTATTGAAATTTACTTGAGAGCGAGCGTTATGGAAATCATGAAACAGGATATTACAGTTTATTCTGAAATCGAGCATCTACAATTATTCGTCTCAAGTTTAATTTTTAATAGGACCTAGATTATTTAATACTCTAGTAACCTCAAGTCCGCGTTTGGTCACAATTTGTATTGTGATTAATCAACTCTCAATGGGTAAAATATGAAATTTGAGATGAATGTGATACAAAGGGAGTGTAGAGTGCACTGCCCACCGGTTGATGCTGAAGTCTGGCAAAGTAAGTGGGTTAGGGTCTAATGATTTCTGAATGGACAATACAATGCAAGTGCATATTTTATTTTATACTACATACTTAGAAAAAATCATGTCAATTTAGGTGCTCTGAATGTGAAATATACGAGCGTCAATTTTGACATAAATTTGAGTTATAATAGACGCGAAATATAGCCCAATCAAACGTACTTTTCGTCGAGCAACGAATGTTTCAGTCTCGGAGCACTTAATATTACATAACATGTTTGTTTACGTCTCATCTTTTATGTCAAAGACGGATTCTGTCACGTGTAAGATTAGTTATTTCTAGGTGTGTATCTATATTATAATCTTTGAATCAGTTTTAGGGTTTTGGGTTAACAGAGGTAGAGCGCGGAGGGACCGCTTGGGAAAGCATAATGTTCATGCTTGAAGGGTTCAGATCGGCTGAGCGGTTCGGTTGTAGTTTGACCTTTTGACCAATTTGGCTATAGAACAATTTTAAACTTGTTCTGCATTATTCACATGTAGCAATTATTGAAAAGAGCTCGATATAAAGTAGTTTAATACTATTAAATAGAAATACAAAAATCTTACCGAATAGTTAAGCTGTTCTGATTTCGGTACAGTTTGTTGAGATCGGGTATAGTTTTTGAGTATTTTGTTTGTGGATTCCCATTTTGAAATAACTCAGATTAGCACAGAGTAATAGTTTTATTGCTGGGGAACTTTCTTTTGGGATCGTCTTTTCTTCATACAATTCTCATTATTCATACTATATTAATCATGATCAGTCTTAGAAAATGTTATATGTTTAAGTCCAGTTCTAGATTAGTTTATTATTAATATCTTTTGAATTGTGGTTGCGAGAGGTTACCAAATATGGGTTCTCTTTTTCACCCATAATAGTTTGGGGGGAGAGGAAAAGTGATGCGATCTGAGAGCGAAATATAGGCAATTAAAATAGGGAACACAACACCATGACCTAAACGACTAACCAACGCATGCTCTGAAGTGCATAGATCTCTCTAGTCTACAACCCTGATTTTCGAGATTAAAAAAAAATTAATCTTTCAGAAGAGATTACTCCACAACCAAATATCATGATCTTAGAACGTCCATTTGAAGGTTTTTCAATGTAAATTCTTATAGGTGTACCCAGATTTTGTTTTTGTTATAGTTACTACAGTAAACAGGCTGATTACCGGCATTTATCAAAATTGTCAAAAAATGGCCTTGCAAACACATCAAGTAGAAGATTTTTCCAAAGTGTGGTGAAAATTTGAGCCCAAAATATTAAGAATTGAAAAATCCCGCCCATGGTGAAAATAGGCCTTTTTTGACAATTTTGATACCTGCTGGTAATCAGTCTGTTTACTGTAGTTACTATAACAAAAACACAATGTGATTAGACCTATGTGAATCTACATTGAAAACTTTCAAATTGACGTTCTAATATCACGAATAGCTTATTTGGTTGTGGAGTAATCTCTTCTGAAAGTTGAAATTTTTAAAAATCTCGAAAATCCAGGGTTGTATCCCAGAAGGATCTAGCCACTTTAGAGTAAAATAAAAAAAAGACGTTTATTCAGAATGCCAAATTAAGCGTTTTGGAAAAGTTTGGCTCAAATCGGTGACAACGACCACCATTTTTTTAAATTTTGTACCCACTTGAGCTGGAATGATCCATATAGAGAGTAGAAAGCGAGCATAGGTCAATTTTGAGGAAGGCATGAATTGGGTTGAGAACGTTCTACGATTGTATTTTTTTAAACTGTTGTAGGGGTTTTTATCTGATTTCCGCCCTACTAAGTATAAGCTTCATCGCTTTTCTTCGAACGGATTTGACCAAAAACAAAAGGAATGTTTCTACTAAAGATGACTAAATTTATTTACATGTCCACATGTACCGTAGGATTTGTTAAAGAGTCAAACATTGTCAACATTTTGTTATAAACCAAACATTGCTTCTTTATTCCAAATTCGTCCAATCTTCAAGATCTTCTTTAACAAAAAAAATAGGATGTGTGTACTAAAGATACTTTATAAATTCATGTCCCTTTCCATTTGTTGGGTAGAGCGCTACTGCGTCGTAATCGCCCATTGCCGTTCTATTGAGCAGAAAACAACAATAATATCAATAATTTCACCGTGCACAAATTCAATAATACATTTGTATCGATGTGTTATAGCTCATAAGCTACAAAAAAAGCTTGTATGAGCGTGTTGTATGAATATTTATATTTATTGTTTTCAAAACATAAGAAGCGCTCCTAGCGAACGTGGCGAACGTTTCAGCTGAATTGATCTTATGAGAACAAAGTTACAACTTGTCAAAGTTGACCATTTTGTATGAAAATCGGCGAAATATCGCTGCTATTATATTGAACACAGGTGTACAATTGGAAGCCATCTGCAGTAGAATCACTCCATTTTGAGCAAACAAAAAAGGAAAGTAATGTGAGGGTTGTGCTTATGGATGGAAAGTAGATCAAAAACCCTACGTAATGTTGGATTTGATAACACATTGTTAAAAATCTAACACTGGTTCTTGATTCCAAATTCTTCATACAATCTTCAATTGATGATAATGATGATGTTAATTGTCGGTAGACTGTGAACTACACTCGCTGTTCGACTTGGTCAAGTTTAATTACTTCTAATTGTACTCAACCTGCCATCGTATGAAGGACCAAAAACGGTTTGGGTGAATTCATCGCCCACGTGCATCCACGGGATAAATGAGAATCTTCCGCCACCAACAGGATAGTACAACCGGTCAAAAGACAGGCCATCCAACAGGAGGATGCCCCAATGAGTGGGGGAGAAGAGCCCGCCCTCTATTCACGCAATGTTAAAGGCATTTGACATTTCCACTCTCCCCATCCATTTCGCTCGGATGTCCTGGTGGACCCTCCCTAACCTAGCATTTAGTTATTCATGAAATAATATATTGTCAATCATAAAAAAAAGTTAACTTACCTTTATGATGAGCAACTTACCTACCCAAACTTTTTTGTATATATTCACTATTATTTTTGTGAAATGCATGTAGAGCTTGTTTTCTTTAATATAATACTTAAAAAAGTTCTCTGCTAAAGTATTTTGAGCGTGTATCTCACAATTTGATTTCTCATTTAGTGCGATGCTATAATTCTTGCCAGTTTCTTTACT